GGGGGTTAACTCAGAGGTGTGGAGATTTGGGGTTTCACAGGCAGCAGAAAGGTCCGGATTGAGGCGGGGGGAGGAGCGAGGATGATGCCGGCCGGAGAAGGGCTGTCCCTGGGACAGTCCGGAGGAGGAGGCCGGCGCAGCTGAGGCCGAAGGTGGCCTCTAAGGCCGCGCAGCGCCCTGCGCCACCGCGCAGCGCCCTGCGCCACCCCCCCGCGCTCCGGGCGCTGTCACTCAGCGCGGTTGCCATGGCAGCGGCGCCGGGGCCCCGCCTCCTCCTCCTCCTCCTCACCCCCCCCACCTCGGTTTCCATGGCAGCGGGCGCGCGGCGGCCCGAGCAGGCCGGCGGGCCTGAGGGAGCTGCCGGCCGCAGCGCGGCGGGGCCTTGTGAGGATGGAGGGCGAGGAGGAGTACAGGGAGGAAGGAGAGGAAGAGGAGGAGGAGGAGGAGGAGGAGGAGGAAAAGGAGGAAAAGGAGGAGGAGGAAGAGGAGGAGGAGGAGGACGAGAAGAAGGCGCCGTCGGAGGAAGAAGAGGTGAGGGAGGGAGGAGGGGGGTCCTCAGCACCCTCCCCCGCTGCGGTTAGGCCAGCCCCAGCGTCGTGCTCTCTCTCCTTCTCTCCCAGGAGCCAGCCCCGTGTCCCCTGACGGAGGAGGTCCTGAAGGAGGGCCTCTCTCTCCTCGCCAAGACCGGCAACGGCCTGGCCCACGCCTACGTGAAGTTTGAAGCCAAATACAAGTGAGTGTGGGACACCTGCCCAGGGAGAAGGCCTCCTCCCCTTCCTCCTCATCCCTGGGCATCTATGTAGCCACGGAGCAGCTGTGTGGTAAGGCCATTTGGTGACAGACCCTGTGGGGCAGGAGCGTTTCCAGGCCATGTGCCATATCTGGTTGACTTCCACCCTGTGCCTCAGCATAGATTGTCCACTCTCAGCCTGGAGCTGGGACTGCCTCCACCATGGCCAGATGTACTGGTGGGGACATGGGTGTCCCCCTAGACTGAGAGGAGCCCGCCCATGGCTCTGGACTGTGGTCTGCTAGGGGGTCCTGAACAGGGTTGGACTCCCCACAGTCACTTGGAGGAGTATCCATTAAGCATCTCTCCTGCTAGCTGCTGACCTTTACAAGCCATGCACTTGTAAGTACAGTGACACAATGGCCTGGGGACAGTTTGGAGCCCCAGCCCCAACAGTTCATCCACATGACCCCAGACCTAACTAACAGGCCTCAGTAAGACTGTGTCTGTCTTTCAGCAGTCTCATAGATCTCTCAACCAGCTTTTTCCCACTAGCAATGTCCTTCCACATAGTCCTTGGTGTTGCCACTACTGTCTACCAGACATTACCCCTCACCTCCCTCCACTAAATTTACCAATTTTCCCTCTTTTTTCATAGAATCATAGAATCATAGAATTGCCCAGGCCGGAAGGGACCTCCAAAGGTCATCTAGTCCGACCTCCCCGCAGTCAGCAGGGACACCCCCAACTAGACCAGGTTGCCCAGGGCCTCATTGAGCCTCTTCTTGAATATCTCCAGGGATGGGGCCTCAACCACCTCCCTGGGCAACCTGTTCCAGTGCTCCACCACCCTCACAGTGAAGAACCCCCTCCTAATCTCCAATCTAAATCTGTTCCCCTCTAGCTTGAAGCCATTGTCCCTCGTCCTGTCACTGCAGGCCTTTCTAAACAGGTTCTCCCCAGCCTTCCTGTAGGCTCCCATCAGGTACTGGAAGGCCGCTATTAGGTCTCCCCGGAGCCTCCTCTTCTCCAGGCTGAACAACCCCAGCTCCCTCAGCCTGTCCTCGTAGCAGAGGTGCTCCATCCCCCTGATCATCCTTGTGGCCCTCCTCTGGACCCGCTCCATCAGGTCCATGTCCTTCTTATATTGAGGGCTCCAGACCTGCACACAATACTCCAGGTGAGGTCTCACCAGAGCAGAGTAAAGTGGCAGAATCACCTCTCTGGACCTGCTGGCAATGCATCTTTTGATGCAGCTCAGGATGCAATTGGCCTTCTGGGCTGCAGCTGCACACTGCCTGCTCATGTCCAGCTTCTCATCCACCATTTTTGCTCTGGTTCTTCCCTCTCCTAAGAAGTACAGTTCAATGGGAATAAGTACTCCCTGTGCCAGGAAAGCAGGTCCAGTTGTAATACTTACAGACTTTATTACAGATAAGGATTTACATTATTTACAGACTATTCAGCCTGTCCCCGGTGCCTGCCTTTTTCCTCTTTAATCTCCCGCAAGGCTTCCTAGGACAGCAGGGAAGTGGGAGAGGAGGGTGCCCTCCCTGTAGTAGTGGTGAGGAGGAAAACAAGAGCTGGTAGCAGGGTGAAATCTAAGAGGTGTTTCATTCACATCTTGCCTCCCACAGGGACTTGACAGACATCAGCCTCCTCGAATGCTTCATTCACCTGCGGTATGTGGATTTGTCAGAGAACAAGCTGCGAGATTTGTCTCCACTGAGCAACCTAACCCACCTGCTTTGGCTGAAGGTGGATAGGAATCTGCTTGCCAGTGCCTGCATGCAGGAGCTGCCCTACCTCCAGGTCATCAGCTTTGCTCACAACCGTATCAAGGATACGGAGGGCATTACTCACCCCCGCTTAGCCAGCCTCAGCCTGGAAGGTGATAGAGACAACTTGCCTTCCTTCTTGTGCACGTAGGACACGCTCTTTGGGTGGGATTAATGCTCTCATTGTTTCTTCCTTCTCTGGCACTCAGGAAATAAAATCCAGACAGCACTGGGCCTGAGTCACGGCCAATTGTTCAGCCTGCAAACCCTGGAGCTGCAAGGAAACAAGCTGGAGAGCACAGCAGGGCTCAATCTTCCCAAGCTCAAGAACCTCTACCTGGTAAGGGATCAGCCAGCTAGGGGAGTGGGACAGAGCTGCTGCAGGGCAGCCAGGGTACCTCCAGTCAGTGGAAGGAGAGAAGGAGGCTGTCCCCTTCAAAGCAGCGTAATTTTTGTGCTAGCCCATTCGGTTCCATCTTCTCAGCCTGATAGAGGTACAGATTTCAGAGAGCTAAAGACACAAAATCAGTTCTTTGGGGTAGTTCCTTCTACACTGGCTGCCCAGATAGAGCAAAGGGAGTAGAATCATAGAATCATGGAATCATGGAATAGTTTAAGTTGGAAGGGACCTTAGAGATCATTGAGTTCCAACCCTCCTGCCATGGGCAGGGACACCTCCCACCAGACCAGGTTGCTCAAAGCCTCATCCAGCCTGGCCTTGAACACCTCCAGGGATGGGGCATCCACGACTTCCCTGGGCAACCTGTTCCAGTGCCTCACCACCCTCACAGGAAGGAATTTCATCCTAATATCTAGTCTAATCTAAGTCTACCCTCTTCTAATTTGAAACCATTACCCTTCATCCTATCACTACATGTGCCTTGTAAAAAGTCCCTCTCCAGCTTTCTTGTAGACCCTCTTCAGATACCGGAAGGCTGCTCTAAGGTCTCCTTGGAGCCTTCTCTTCTCCAGGCTGAAAAACCCCAGCTCTCTCAGCCTCTCTTCATAGGAGGAAGTAGCCACTGACCACTAATTCCTCTGCAGAGAGTGGAGGATTTGGCAATGTTCATTGTTCAGTGCTCTTCCCTCCCAGCCTCCTATGGGAGAGGGGTGTTCTCTTCTGGCAGTGTTGGTCAGTCCTGTATTCTCTGTGCCCTGGGACCCCAGAGGTTAGTGGGGAAAGCAACAGGTTTGCTCTGGGTGGCAGGGGGAGGTGACTCCTCTTTCTCCTCCCTGATGGGCCTAATCAAATACTGGGTTAAAAACAGCCCAATTATATGATTCACACATTCAGCTGCCAAAAAAGAAACTGATTGAACATTGCAGTGAAACTAAGATAGGAGAAGCAATTTCCTAATACCATAAACAATTGCTTCAAGGAACATTTGCTCCTAGAGATGCAAGTGCAGAAAGTATGCGTGGCTTAGTTCCACGCAACATACAGTGCTACAGCTTGCAAAGACTGGATAGGTGTCCTGAGTCACTACCTCTTGAAAGCAATTAAAGATGATAAAGGTTCTGAAAAGCTGTATGGTTTATTTTCATCAAGACTCCCTGGCAGAAAACACTGAGGAGATTGCTTGCTGAGATTGTCTGCAATGTTCTGGCAGAAAACTGAGATTTTAGGGCTAGAGGTGCTGGAAGAAGGGATGAAGTGGATAAGTCACTAGATATAATACAGAATTTCAAAGTAAAAACAGTCATTTTAGTGAATGATTAGAGAAAAGCAAGCACTGTGCTGATATTTAAAGAAGGTTCCTGGAATGACTGAGGAATTTCTGAGCTGCACGGTATGAAGTGGGCAAATTGCAAGACATGATTATTAAAACTGGAACAACTGACTCATTTCTCAGGAATCTTTGGGGCTTGAATTTGTCTCCCATGTCTGCCTGCTCACTAAGTCATCTCTCCCAGTACTGCTTTGCTTTCTGTGTAAAGATTTTGGTATCACGTGAGCCATGGGCAGATGAAGCTGATGCCTCAAGGACAGGGTTCAGGACTAAAGGGTTCAAGTTAAAGGACCTGGACCAAATTTGGTTGATATAAGACACAGTTGGAGATGAAATTTAGTATGAAAAAAGTTATACCTACTAGGAGGAAGACTATGAGCTAGCTGCGTGTAGGCTCAAGTATACTCAAGTATTCTAGTCTCACAAGTATCAGGTGTCAGTTTGAGGCTCACTGCTGTTGGTGGGGCCATGAGCTAGCTGCGTGTAGGCTCAAGTATACTATGAGTATTCTAGTCTCACAAGTATCACGTGGCACTTGTGTCAGTTTGAGGCTCACTGCTGTCGGTGGGGCCGTGTTGGTTCCTGGTGCAGCAGTGGTGACAACAGCGAGAGCAAGGTCAGCTGTGCAGGAAGGGGAGAGGGAATCACAGGGAACATAACTGTAGTAGATTTCCATAAGAAATTGTGGCATCACATCTATGTGAAGCACTGATATCTAAGGTAAGGTGATGATGTGAGCATTTAATTAAGAGAGTTATATGGAATGTTCTTTGATTCAGGGGAAAAAAAAAATAACCCTGAAAAAATCCATCCTGCATTTGTTGTGTTAGGGCTTGCAGGGCCAGAGCTGTTAAAATTATTCACACTGATGTAATGAAGAAAGTGAGAGTGATGGGAGGTTACTGTTCATTTTACAGACCAGTGGTCTGTGAGCTCCCCGCTCCTTATTTCCCACCCCAGCTCCTGATTTCCTCAGAGGGACTAATCCTTCCTTCCTGTTTGTTAAAACTGTTTGTGACTTTCGCTACGTCTCTGACTTCCCACTTTTCATCCTTGTGTTACCCTCTGTACTTGGCCCAGCTGGTCCAAGCTTTTCCCTGTCCAGTTTCCGTGAGAGCCCCCCTTTTCTACAAAATATTCTTTTCCTCAGTGACCCAGTCCTAAACTGTTCTCTTATCCCACCAGTTCAGCCCGTGCCCCTCTCATTAGTCTGAGGTGGTGACCACGTCACCGCCTGGGTACCAACAAGGAACAGAAAAGACAGTGGCACCTCTCTCCCTGTTTTATCATAGAATCATAGAATCATAGAATCATAGAATTGCCCAGGCCGGAAGGGACCTCCAAAGGTCATCTAGTCCGACCTCCCCGCAGTCAGCAGGGACACCCCCAACTAGACCAGGTTGCCCAGGGCCTCATCGAGCCTCACCTTGAATATCTCCAGGGAAGGGGCCTCAACCACCTCCCTGGGCAGCCTGTTCCAGTGCTCCACCACCCTCACAGTGAAGAACCCTCTCCTGATCTACAGTCTAAATCCGTTCCCCTCCAGCTTGAAGCCATTTCCCCTCGTCCTGTCACTGCAGGCCTTTCTAAATAGGTTCTCCCCAGCCTTCCTGTAGGCTCCCTTCAGGTACTGGAAGGCTGCTATTAGGTCTCCCCGGAGCCTCCTCTTCTCCAGGCTGAACAACCCCAGCTCCCTCAGCCTGTCCTCGTAGCAGAGGTGCTCCATCCCCCTGATCATCCTTGTGGCCCTCCTCTGGACCCGCTCCATCAGGTCCATGTCCTTCTTATATTGAGGGCTCCAGACCTGCACACAATACTCCAGGTGAGGTCTCACCAGAGCAGAGTAAAGTGGCAGAATCACCTCTCTGGACCTGCTGGCAACGCATCTTTTGATGCAGCTCAGGATGTGATTGGCCTTCTGGGCTGCAGCTGCACACTGCCTGCTCATGTCCAGCTTCTCATCCATGCAAGTATCTGCATCCTTAGGGACTGCAGCCCAGAGCCACAATCCCAAGTGGAGCCCTGTGCAGCTCCAGGCGGGAGAACGTGGTGGGAAGGTTGTAGTTACCAGGGATGTTCCAAACTCACAAGGTGATGGATGAGCAGCCTGACCTCACACGGGTGCTGGCACTGCGGAGGGCTGGGGCTTGGGCAGGAGACCTCTAGTGGCCTTTTCCAGCCGAAATCCTTGCTGTGAAGCTGTTGCTGAAATTCAGAGCTTTGCTTTTCCCCATCTCGTAACTCGCATCACAGTGAAGGGAATGAAATTCAGTGATGGGGAATTTGGAACTGATAGGACACATTCTTCCTGCTGTACGGCTGTCGGGTTTGTTGCATCTGTTTGTTATCCATCTGTGGATGGATAACAACAATTATACCTGGAAAAGCTTAAAATTAAACCACCCAACAACCCCCACAACCCCTCTCAGGAACACACACAGCCTGCTTCTGCTCCTAGAGGAGTAGAAGAGGAGACTTCTTGATAGTAGATTTCCCCCACAAAAGAAGCAGCTGACAGTGGAAGATCCCTGGACTTACATGGACTGTGTGAATGAGAGGGGCTGGTTATTTTTGTTTTAAATACACTTGTTTCAGGCTCAGGCCCCTGCTTTCCCCTCCGTGCTGTCGCTGTCTGAGGCCTCAGGGACTCAGATTCGGCACTGCCATGGAAAGGGGTGCTGTGCTGGCAGTGGGTGGCTTTTGTCCTTAGTCACCAAGTGATGCTACAGGAAACACTTTTAGTCCTTGAATCTGAAGACTGAGAACCCGTTTGGCCAAGACCCTGAGCAACCTCATCTAGCTTCAGAGAAGGCTGCGTTATGAGTGGTAGGGAGTCTGCAGGGCAGAAAGAGCTTTAAAGGCCAGAAATAACTGCTGTTCCTTCCCTTGTGTGTTCCCTTTTTCCTTCTCTCTTCCTGCCTCCTTGGTGCTCAGGCCCAGAATGCCATTCGGAGCCTTGAAGGCCTTGAGGGGCTTGGACAGCTGACAACTCTGCACCTGCGTGACAACAAGCTTAAGAACCTGGATGGATTCTGTAGCAGCATGAAGTGCCTGCAGTACCTCAACCTACGGTGGGTCCTCCCTGCTCTGTGTTGGAACCAGAGACCCCTTCATCAGGCTGTACTTCCATTTAGATCTTTAGGATTTTCTGGTTTCTTTGGAAGTTGAAGACCTGATGGGGATGGGTTGACCTTTGTTGTTGTTTACTGGTCTTCAGCATTTAGCTGTCTTGGCGTACAACAGCCAGGGTCTTTCCCGGGCTTCTCAGAAAATATCTGCTTCTCCAGTCACTCTTACACCCTACCTTATACTTTTTATATCTTGCTATAACTTCTTTGGGCCCTTCTAAGTGTGTTCTCTGCATCCTGGACATGACTGCAAGTGCCCTCTACTTCTCAGCACTTGGCATGCAGGGCGATGGTGATACCACACAATTCAATGGACTATTTGAGGACAGAGAAATCCAGAGGAGATGTCCTTTTAGTCCCTCAGTCTGGGCAGCTGCAGACAGATCTGGACCTCAGATCACAAGTCCATGGTCTAAGGTCTATGGTCTATCATGCTGCTGGGTTTTGCTTTGTCTGTCTTGTCAGCTTCCTGCTCCAAAGGGACCTCACTACTTGCATGTGTCTCTTTCCCCTGCTCTCCGTCCTTCCTCTTCTTCAGGAACAATGGGATCAGTAGCTTTCAGGAGGTGGCAAAACTGCAGGTCCTCCCCATGCTGCAGACGTTGGTGCTGTTGGACAATCCATGCTCTGAGGAACCCAATTACCGGCTGGAGGTCCTGGTCCTGCTGCCGCACCTGCAACGCCTCGACAAGGAGGTAGTTGAGCAAGAGGAGCGGGCAGAAGCAAACGAAATGCAGCAGCAAAGGCAGGAAGAACAGGTGAGAACAGCATGGCAGGGGGAGGAGAAGGAAGTGGAGGAAAAGAGAGAGGATCAGACGTGCTGACCAAGCCTCTCCTCCTCTGGATTACGTGAGGAGAAGGCTAAGGGAGGTCAGTCCCAAGGGCAGAGGAGCCTGCAACAGGGGCTGGGCCTCACAACCTGATTGTGATGGCCGGCATCGCAAACCTACTGCCATTCCCAGCCCCACCATCAGAACTGAGCAGCAAAAGGGGAAAAGAAAACGGGCATGGAGTCATTTAGCTTCTCCCTCTTTCCTTCTTCAGGAAATGGAAGGATTTCTCCAGGATGATGCAACGGAGTGACCGCTGCTTTTGATACCTGTTCCCAGAGCCAGTCGGGAGTTGGAGATGCCTTCCCTGACAGGTGCAGCTGGGGAAGTGAGAAGTGCAGGTATCAGGGCTACCTTCACATCCTTTCACCCCTGGAGAAAAGAGGAGGATTGCCCACCCTGGTCCTGGCAGCTGCCCGGAGGTACTGCAGTGTTTTCACAGTCGCTGCACTCATGCGCTCTATCCCCAGTAGGCCCGAGAGGGAAAAAGGGGAAAGGGGAGAGTTACAGGTTCTTGTGGTTTGGTTTATGGCTCCCAAAAACCCTACGAGATTTTCTGATTTGAATAAAAATAATTAATGAGCCTGGAGTGACTGGAATTGTTTATCCTGCACACCCACTCCCATCCCCTGGCTCTCTCACCCTCGTCTGTCTGTGTCTATCCCCTGTCTCCCTCTCTCTCTCTCTCTCTTTCTCTCTCCATCCCCTACGTGCTGTTTGCAAAGCTTTGCTAAATCCTGACTCATCGCAGCTCTGGGTCACATGCTGCTGTCCCGGCCCTATCAGGGGCGTCTCCATCCTGCTGCTGCCGCCGCCGCCGTTGGCTTAGAGGACACATCATCTCCCCTTGAGGTCCTGCATCCCTCCTCAGCTTCGTCCTCTCTCCTTTCTACCAGCACTTTCTCAATCTCTCCTTCGCCCCTGCCCTAGGAAGGTAAGTGTCTCCCCCCACGGCCAGCACTCCCCCTCTACAGCGTGCATGTTTCTGCTCCCCACCCTGTGCCCTCCAAACCCCACACGCACTTTGGGGTCCCTGCAGAGAAGGACCAGGGTGAGCGGCATTAAAAACTAAACTCCCCTCACTTCCCCCCAACCCGTCCCTGCTCCTCCC